ATACTGCAAACGGCGCATCATGCGGGGTGAGCCCAGCGCCATGGAGCCCACCAGAGGGCTCGCCATCTGCGGACAGAAGCTCATGGCGACGGCCTGCTGGAGGGTGGCGATGGCAGAGGTGACCTGGGGCTGGACGGGGCTGTACATGGCTGTGTGCTGCTGCAGCTCTGCCTGCTGCACCATCTCCCGGTCGTACTTGACGATCTCCTGGATGATCTCGTTCTCCTGATTGTTGAAGACACCTGAGTTGAGGTCGTGCTGCACTTTGTGGAGCAGGATCGAGTTCTTCTTCCCTGCAGGGAGGGGGCCAGAAGAGGGAATACCATGAGTCCCACACTGGGACTACGCTGGGTTCCCATGCAAGCCAGGGCTGTTCCCTCTACTGGGACACCCCTCTCCCCCTCCAGACCCCACCGTGCCCTACCAATGCGGTCAAGGCGGTCAATGGCCACGGTCTCAAAGGCCCGTCTCATCATGGGGTATTCCTCCAGCACCTCATTGAAGTTGTCCACTGAGAGCGAGTAGAGGCGGCAGTAGGTGTCTGCACGGACACTGGCTGTGCGCCGGCCACGGGTCAGCAGGCAGATCTCTGCATGGAAAATGCCAGGGTCAGGGTCAGAACACCGCCAGTGAGAACAAAATGGGGCCAAACCAGGAGCAAGGGGTGAGAACCACCACATGGGGGATGCCCCAGGACAGGGCAGGTGCCCCAGTACTTCTCACAGACCCCAAGAGGGTACCCGGGCTCAGTCCTGCAAGTGCTCACCTCCAAAGTAGGAGCCATCAGAGAGTTTCATCTCCTTGTTGCCCTTGGTGAGGATGCTGACCACCCCGTGCTGGATGAAGTACATCTTCTTGCCAATGGTGCCCTCACGGATAATGTAGTCACCCGGCTGGAACACCTCAAACTTCAGCTTGGTGAGCATTGCCGTGACAAAGTTGGGGTCTGCGTTGGCGAACAGCGGCATCGAGGCCACCAGCTTGCGGCAGTTGAAGTTGACAATTTCCTGTGGGGAAGCAGGTGAGCACAGGAGGCTGGGACACACTTCCACAGGGACATGCTCCCCGCCACCAGCAGGCTCACGGACACCCTGGCACACAGATCTTGCATGGACACGTACTCAGAGCTGCAGAGCTGCAGCAAGAGGTGTTCGACCCCAAGCATGTGCATGGCAGAAGCCAGCGGGACCCACACCACTCCCTGATGCCTGGCAGGGAGAAGGGGGTCCCTCCCTTTGGGGGAGCAATCCCCCCCACCCAGCTCTCCAGCCCTCACCTCACGCAGGGGCTCGTTGAGCTCCCCCAGGATGCTGTCCTCGTCAAACATCTTGCCCTGGTAGCGATGCTCATAGTAGTCATGAATCTTCTGGCGGAAGTCGGCAGGCAGCTTGTGGAAGGACATGTACTGCTCCACCTGCTTGTACTGTGGGGAGAGGTGGTGTTAGCTGGGACCCCCCACACACATTCCCACTCCATGGGGCCAGTCTTGCTACACCTCCCCATCCCTGCTCCCAGCCAGGAACACTCACCCCACCTGGCTGCATCTCCAGGAGGGGATGCACCAGCTGGGCTCAGGACAGAAGCCGTGGGTCCCATTCGGCCCAGTCCTACCTTCTCCTGGTACTGGCGCCGGGAGGAGTCCAGTGACTGGATGAGGGCGGTGGCGTGGCCGATGAACATGGCGTAGCAAGTGGCCCCCACAATCATGCTCAGCATGGTCAGCCAGATGTCCGTCATGCTCTCGGGAGCCTGCTTCCCATAGCCGATGCAGAGCATGTGGCTCATGGACTTGAAGAGGGCAAAGGAGTACAGCTCACTCCAGGAGTCGTTCTGCAGCAACAGGGACGGCGGCTCAGCCCGTGCTGGTGCTCAGCTGCACATGTGTGTGTCTGTGTGTCTGTGTGTCTGTCTGTGTGTCTGTGTGTCTGTGTGTGTGTGAGAGCAGCGCCCGAGGGCACAGTGCCCTGGCCCCTGCCAGGCCACGGCCCTGGTTCTCTGCCTGCCTCTCTCAGCAGCCCTCAGCAACAGGCATTTGTTGAAAAGCAAATTTTCAAACTTTCCAAACTTTTCAAACTTCCCTGGAGGAGCAGTCAGGGAAGGAGAAGGCAGGGGAGGAAGAGGAGGAAGCCAGGCGGGAGGGAATGGAGCAGAGATGGAAACTTGATGGAAGAGGATGAGACAGACAGAGGGAGAAGAGCCATTTGCAGGAGGCTGTGGGGCTGAGAGGGAGCAATTAGAAACAGGGCACATTATTTATTAATAGCAGCTTTATGGCTAATGAGCAGGAGAAGGAGGCAGGGGACAGGACCAAGAGCCCAATGTCAGCATATTCCTCCCGCCCGGATCGATCCCCTGCTCCAGGTCCTGTGAGACCTCACCAGAGCAACGTCAGCACCTGGCACCGGGTGCCTTGCACACTGAGGGGTGCCCTGTAAACCACAGGGCACTGCAGCCATGGCCAGCGGGGGGATGGCATCTCCTGGGGTCAGTGCATGGAGGCCAGATGACAGGAGGATGGGTGGGGGCCCAGGGGATCAGGCAGGAGCGCGTTAGGGGGTGGATGGTACTCACCACCATCCCATTGATGGAGACCCAGCAGTTCTGGGGGAAATCCTGCAGCATGGGCACCAGGAACTGGAGGCAGCCGTCCCAGTGGCAGAGCAGCAGCATCATGCCAATGAGGTTGATGATCCTCATCACTGCACTGGCCAGGTCGTAGGTCATGTGGAAGATCTGGGTGGGTGGGATGGCAGCAGGTGAATGTGGGGACCCTCCCCCACTGCCCAGCCCTGCTCAGGTCACTGACCCTCATGGCCTCTGATGGAAGCAGCTCCCATGGCTGGCCCAGCTCCAGCCCTGAGGCTGCTCTGCTCCACCTGCCTATTCACAGCTGGTGGGATGGGGATGCCCCCACACTGCCCAGGAAGCGGTGATGGCCACGAGCCTTGATGAGCATCAGCCAGCACCAGCAGATGCTCAGGGAGAGACAAATACTCAGGGCACTGAGGAGGGAGTGGGGCAGCCTCCAGGGCACCGAGTGCAGAGTCTGGGCCAGAGCCACGTAGCAAAGTCGAGCACGTCCCCTCCAGACTCTAAGGCACGTCCCCTCACAGCCCACACAGCCCTGAGTGCACCCTGCCTCCTGCACTGGGGACCCCAAGGGCCAGGGGTCCTGCCACCCCCCCTGGCACTCCCCAAGCTCCTGGAGGGGCAGGGAGCCAGCGGGGAGCAAGGCAAGCAGCACGGAGCTGAGCAGGGTGACAGGGTCCTGCTGCTGGAGCAGGGGATGGTGTGCCAGCTTGTGCCAGCCATGCTGTCACCAGTGGTGAGTGATGTCCTGTGGCCCAGAGATGCCCCAAACCTTCCAGGAAGGGTCACATCCACCCACTGGCCCCACACAGAGCCCTGTAGATCCCCTCCACCCCGTCCGTTCTTCAGGCATCCCCCAGCCCTGCCACGCTCACAGGGGCCCCTCCAGCTCCCGCTCTCTCCAGCCATCCCAGTGCTGCCAGCAGGCCCCAGAGCAGGTCCTCACCTCCTCCCACTGGTGGATGTAGCGGATGAGCCGGGAGAGGCGGAGGAGCCGCAGGAGGCTGAGGATCTTGGTGAAGCGGACGATGCGGAGGGCACGGGCGGTCTTGTAGACCTCCGAGTCTATGCCCTTCTCCACAATGAGGAAAACATAGTCCACGGGGATGGAGGAGACAAAATCCACCACAAACCAGGTCTTGAGGTACTTCTTCTTGATCCTTTCAGGGTCCAGGATGATTTCCGTGTTGTCCTCAATGACAATCCCTGTCCGGAAGTTCAGCACCAGGTCCATCAGGAAGAAGGTGTCAGAGACCACATTGAACACGATCCAGGGTGCTGTGGTCTCCTCCTTGAAGAAGGTGATGCCCACAGGAATGATGATCAGGTTGCCCACCATGAAGAGCAGCATCGTGAAGTCCCAGTAGAATCTGGGGAGTGAGAAGATGGAGGGGGGGTGTCACCAGTGCCCCATAGCTGCCCCCCATGCCGAGGGGACATGGCCACAGTGCCCTGCCCTCCAGAACCCACACTACTGGGGTGCTGCCACTGTGATGACACCTCAGCCACAGGAACCTCCCTCTCCCCAGAGACTACACCTTGCTCCCCCCTCTCCAGACTGCCCCTGGGGTGATCTTGCAGCCAGCATAGCCCCTGACTGAGGTGTAGAGGGGGGTGCAGGATGAGGCTGGGGGCTCCCCCTGGGCTGCCGGAGGCAGCAGGTCCTGGGGGGAGAGGAGAATGATGATGCCAAACACTGGAGGGGGGCACCCTCCGGCCCAGCTGCCCCGGGGAAGCCCGTGGGCTGAGGAGTCCCCCAGACCATCGGCATCACTCTACGTCACAGGTGAAGGCAGGACGGGAGATTGGTGGCAGCAGCCCCCCCCTTTCCTGCTCCCAGAGGGGGGACAGCGGTCAGTCCACAGGGACAGTCAGGGCCACCCTACTCCGCGCCCCCGGGCCAGGCTGGGGTCCCGATTTGGGCTGCCAGGGTGGGGCTGCCGATTTCAGTCCCCGACAGCGCGGCTGCGATGGGAAGAGCCGCGCGGCTCCCGGTGCAGCGGGAGCACGTTACGGCTTGCTCATCGGCAGTCGGCAGCGGCCCGCAGCCCCGGCCAGACGCGGGGGCGTGAGTGGGTGGGCGCCGCCCCTGCCCCTGCCCCCGCCCCTCCTGGGCTTGCGCGTCCCCCTCCGCCCCCTCCCGCTCACCCCATTCTTCTTCCCTTTTCTCCCTCGTCCCCTCTTTCTCTGGGCCACGACGACCTTTCTGGAGCCCAATCTCAAGCGTCACCAGCAGCTCTGTCGTGGCAGGATGGCGGGAGGCCACCTCGGACCCACCCTGCTCTGGCCGGGGGGCAGGAGCGGGGGGGACGCTCCTCAGTGCACGTGCAGGGACACTCAGGACCCTCGCCCACACATGTCTGCTCAGCCCACCTAGGCAGGGGTCTCTGAGAGCTGTGGAATGATGGGCAGGGGGTGCCATCGCCATGCCGTGCACTCGGTGCCCTGGGGTGAGGGGACGAGGGGGAGACACCCCCCCTGCACACAGAAAGGGGGGACGGGCCGGGTCCCCCCCACTGCGCAGACTAGCGCAGGACCAGGAGCCGAACATCCCAGCTCCTGACCTTTCTCCAATGACACCTTCCCCATGTGAGGTGTTGCTGTGGCAACTGTGAGTGATGTCACTGCTGCAAAACGATGACTTCACACCAGGGCGGTCCCCAGGGCACCCTCGGCAAAGGAACTGTGCCCCCCTTCTACCCCTACACCGAGCTTCAGCTGCTGGCACCAAACAGGCAGCGAGGCCATGGCCATGGTGGGCCTGGCCAGACCCCCAGGCTCCCACACACAGCACGACCTGCCAGAGATGCCAGAGTCAGCAGAGTCGCTGTGGGGCTGGATCTGTCCCCAGACCCCTGGCAGCTCCCACTCGGACTGACCCTGCTGTGCTGCGCAGGTCCCACGGGGGCATTAGCCATGCAAAGCTGCGAAGAACAAAGATTAAATAACCTCGCCAGCTGGGCAAAACTCTCCTCTGGCTCCAATTCCTTTGCAATCTGGCTGAGCCAGGGCAGAATTCAGCCTGCAGAGAAAAGATAAACTGCTCCTGATTCCCCCACCGCACACAACTGACCCTGTGCAATCGCCCCGGGGACCGGGGTGCGATGCCAACGCTTTCTTCCTTGGAGGGTTCATGTGCATGGAAGAAAAGATCCAATCCAGGCTACTAAAAATATCTGAAAACAAATTAATCAGGATCCTTGACATCCCTCCCTTGCTTCTGACCCAATTGTATGACAGTGACGATGACAGGAGGTGCCCAAAGCCCCCACGAGCGGGGGCTGCCGCCTTTCCGCTCTGTCACCCGCCCAACGCCTGCCACGGTGGTGCTGCTCTGAGGGCCTTGGGAAGATACAAGTTGGGGCCGAGCCATACGGGGGGGCCAGGTATGCCAGGGTGGTCTCTGCCCAACTCCATTGGCAGCACACAGAGCTCCAGGGTCTGCTGGAGACAATCCAGCGACACCCCTTTTTGCTGATCCCGTAGCCCGGCAGAGAGCTGCACGTGCACCAGCCTGCCCAGCAGTATGGAGCTCCCCAAGACCCCCCTCTGCAGGAGGATCCCCTGAGGTCTGAGCCCTTCAGCCCTGACAAGGCCCAGCTGCAAACAATCAGGCTGCCTGGTGGGCAGGAGCAGCACAGGATCAGTGCAGGATCAATCAGCACAGGATTGGCACTTTGCAAACTCACACTAAATACTCATATCCTAAAAATGAGGTTGCTATGAGAAGTGTGTTACAAAGCCAATGGCATGTTTGCCCAAGCTGAGAGAGCAGTAGTGGCCAACATCATCTGCACCTCCAGATCCCAGCAGAGTCAGTTGTGATGAATGATTGGTGCCGCTCTCTCTTGGAAAAGCCTTTTACCCTGGGAGTTCCTGGGGAGGGGGGTAAAGGCTTTGCAAACTGCTCAAGGACCCAAACCTTCACAATCCCCCCAGCCAGTCCCAGCCTTTCCTCCCCAGTGACCTTTCAGCACTCCCAGGTCTGACTGCCCCACACTGATGCTGCAGAATAAGGAGTCCAGCTCCCCAACACCCTGACCAGAGGGAATGGGAACATCAGGACCAGTGGCAGTGCTGGCACATCCATCAGGAGCAAGAGCAGCTGGCAAGCCCGGTCCCTCTGCTCAGTAGCCCCCACCATGGCACCATGCAGGCAGAGGGAAAGCCCCTGAAACCATTCAACCCTGGATGAGGAAGTCTCTGGCCAAGCAGCACCAGGGACATGTGCTCTGGAATCATCTTTGCCCCCAGTTCAGTTGCGAGACCAGCTCTTGCAACAGGAATTCACCAGCAGTGAGAACCCCCTGCTCAGCCCCAGCCCTGGTCCCAACCCAGTCTCATGGAAGGCTGTGGGTGCCAGGCTGGCACCAGGGGGGATGCCAGTGTAGCCCCTACAGCCACTCAGCAATCACAGGGTGATGGGCACTGCCACCATCCCCAGATCACCGGCTGTGCACAGCTCCCACAGCCCCAGAGCAGCTCCTCGGGGCTGGTGCAGAAACCACAACAGAAGCGATGAAGGAGTTGGCACTGGCTGGGCTGTTCCTCCCAAAACAGAGACCAGAACTGGCAAAGCCACCAACGACCACTGCCCAGCACCCAAAAGGATGTGGCCCTGCTCCAGCACACACTTACAAGGTCTCTTTTATCAGATTTGCAGCTCAGGATCTCACCAGCCGCCCTGGCTGCTTCCTCGTCATTCAATATTTATGTAAACAGCAACCTCGGTTCCTGGAGCAAATGTGTCCTGAATTGTGGGTGAACGATGGCAGTGCCATTGCCATGAGAAGTCAGGATCATTAAATGACGATGATTATGAAATGATATCACAGATGCAGATGGGTAATGGGTTTTGCAGGGCAAACACGACCAGGTCACACTCCATTATCATTATTGGATAAATGCTTTTTGATTATTTTAAGGCAGGACAACGTGGGACGGATGGACACGTCCCCAACATGCACAGGCAGAACGGGTTCCTCACGCCCAGGCTCAGCCCCACGTGGGCTGATCCTGTTCCTGAGCATGGTTGTGGAGCTGGAGGATGCCGTGGCTCTGCCTGCAGCTCCTCCCCGCTGGGCAGGGAACTCTCCTACACCACTTCCAGTATCAAAACACAGGCAGACACTCTGCCCCAATGGGTTTCAAGTCTTGATAGTGGCTCCAGGAGGATGGAGCCCGCGCTGGGCAGGACAGCCAGGGTGACTCTCCAAGGTCACCCTGGCACCCGCCTGCTCGCTGCAAGTACCAGTCCAGGGACAATGCTGCTGGACCTTGGAGAAGCCTCTGAGGCCTCGAGCCCACTGCAAGCTCACTGCAGGGAGACCCTGCTCTCAGGAGCACCGTGGACTCTGCCTCCAGCACCGCGGCTCTGCCAGGTCAGAGGAGCTGGGCAGGCTTTGGCCTGGGGCAGGCATGGGGGTCACTCTGCTCCCAGCCCCAGCAACAGCCCACAGCTGCTGAGGGTGAGGAGCAGCACGGGCAGTGCAGACAGGCCCAGTCCCCCAGGATCTACCTCTGCTCTGTCACAGCAGGGCCAGTGGAGCTCCCTCCACCGCAGGACCAGCAGGGACCAGGCGGTGCAGACACTGCTCAGCCCGGCCCTGCAGCAGAACTCGATGCCCAGCCAGTGAGACAAGGAGGGAGCTCCACTGTGTAGCCACAATGTGGAAGGGCGCAAGACCCTGTGCAAGAAGGCAGCCCCAGGGGGAGGCCGAGGGCCTCCAACTGCTCCTCTGGAAGATGACAGATCAGCCCAGGGCAGCCATGAGGGCGGGAGCAGGAGATGCAAGTGCTGGTCCCTGCCCTGAGCCCATGGCCACCTCCACCTGCCTCAGGGAGCCCTATGCTGTGGAGACTCCTCAGTGTTAGGAGAGAACAGAATTTGAGGTCTGGCTCAGGGACATCCCCCACCCAGGCACCCAGTGAACCCTCCCCTGAGCCACCCCAAACCATGCACCAGCAGAGTCAAAATGACTCAGAGCTGAGCCCCTGAGCCCCACTGGCCTCTGGAAGAAGGCTCCCCCAGCCCCTTTGAGGTCACTGAACCAACTGGTTCAGTCCCAGCGCTGGCTCACTAGTAATGCCAGCAGGGTCTCAGCCCCCCTCCATCCCTGCAAGGTGCGATGCTGCCTGCCCCCGACACTGCAGCCATCCCTCCCTCCCAGCAGCTTTCACACAACTAGGGAAACGTTTGCCACTCCAGAGCTCCCCAGGGCTCGTGGGCCAGGAAGGAGATGGAGCTGCAGAGCTTTTCTCCTGGGTTTGCCATTCCTCACCTGGAAGACACACAGGCTGGATCTTGGGGACTCAAGTCCTCTCAGAAGTGGGAAGAATCCCCCTCAAACTGGCTGAACCCCAGGGACAGGATCAGGCCTCCATGGGGGAGGGGGAATCATCACAACGCTCTGCCTGGCAGTGGCACAGCACATCCCCCCCACCCAGCACTGGCACTTCCCCGGGGAGGGGGACCCCGAACCGCAGGGTGCTCCAGGGGCAGAGCCAAGGCCCGGTGGGGCTAAGGGGGGCCAAGCCTGCCGAGGCTCCGGGAAGGACGAGGGGACGCCCTTGCCCGGGCACTGAGAGTGCTCCCGCATCCCGGGGCGGCGGGCTGCTTGCGCTGGGTAGGAGCGGTTATGCCTGGCTCGGCTTGCGCTGGGGAGTGGGGATGGCCTGGCTCGCCCCCCCGCGCCCGGGCGGCGGGCTCAGGTGCCCTCGGCCGGCGCACCGGCGGCCCCTGCTCCCCGGCCCGGCCGATGCCCGCGGCCCGCAGGGATGCTGGATGCGGGATGCGGCCGAGCCCCACGGGTACCGCCGCACCTGAAGTCGCTGTAGGGATGGATGATCCAGGCCCCCGCCGACTTGACGCGCTCCTGCTCCCGCTCCACCGCCTTCTGCGAGCCGAACATCCGCAGCGAGAACTTGTTGACGCCGGGCTGAAGCATCGCCCCGAACTGCCGCTGCATGAAGCTGGCCTGGCTCCCGCGGACCTCCTCGCCCGCATCCTCGCCGCCGACCCTCCTCGGCTGCCTTGGCCCGCCGGGACGCGCCGCCGCCGCCGCAGGGAGAAGGAGGACCTTGGGCTCGCGAGGCGGCTCCGGGCCGGGGGCTGCCGCGGAGGCTCCCCGCGACGGCACTCGCCGTTCGGGACCCCTTCCCGCCGCGGCCCCGCGCCCGTCCCAGTCGCGCGCCGCCCCGCCGCGCTTGGCCCCATTCGGGCCGCTTCCATCCGTCGGCCGCCGGCCTCCCCGCCCCCGCGCCGCGGCCCGCCGCATCCCTGATCCCGATCCCCGCCGCCGCTGCCGCCGACGAGGCCACCGTTGCGCCGGCACAAGTGGCACCCGCCGCCGCGGCGGGGGCGGGCCGCGGGCGGGCCGGGGGCGGGCAGCGGGGCCGGGCCGGGGCCGGGCGGCTCCCAGCTCCCCCCTGCGCACAGCGCTCGCCGGCGGGGACGGCTACCGGGGCGGACCGTCACCTTGAAGCCCCGACAGCCCCGGACCCCGGCAGCACGGTTCCCCGGTGCGGCGGCCGGGCCATCCCCCCGCGGGGCTCTGCCGGCCCAGCCGCCTCGCCGGGAGGGAGCGCTGCCCACCCCGAGGCAGGGATGGACACCATCTCCGCGCTAGGCACGGGGGCTTCGCCCTCGCACAGCCCCTGGTGCCCACCGCTCCAGCGCTGAGCCCCCTGCACCGAGCCCACGGGCAGCCCACGGGCAGCAGGACCCCCCGGGGCAGACCGAGGGGTGAAGACCCCGGTCTGACACCCCGGGACAGGGCCAGCAGCCGCAGCTGGACCCCACCGCAGCGGACACCCGCCAACGAGGCCGATTAGCCTGGCCGTAGAGAGCAGGGCCATAGGGGACCGGCACATCCTGCCCTCTGCTCCGCGGAGAACGTGCTTGTTCCCGCTGCCGGCTCCCCCGGGCTGCGAGGGCGTCGAAGGCACGCCGGCACGAGCAGCCCGGGTCTTGAGCTACGAGCACCGCCCGAGCAGGCCGACACGGGACCGGAGCCGCCCCGCCACTGGGGCCGCGGCTCTGGGAGGGACCCGTGGGGTGTCGGAGCGGGCAGCACGATCCGGCCGCGCGGCGGCACCACCTGGTGCCACGGGACAGAAACCGCACCGGCAGCGCGTTCCCCTGCGCGGCTGGAGCCAGCGCCGTGCCCGGCCGGGGCAAGCTGCAGCCCCTGCACGGACCCCGCGGGCGAGACACCCCAAAAGCTGCGCTGCGGGCCACAGGGGCCCCATTCTGCAACATCACTCCCCGGGCTTGGCACGGCTGCCTTCAAGAACAGCCCATTTCTCCAAACCATCCCCGGAGAACAGCACTGCAGCTCCTCAGCTGCCCCCAGCCCAGAGGAGAGACCGATGCTGCAGCTTAACCTGAACGGGAGGCTGGAGATGCTGGAGCCAAGGCGTCAGGAGGCAGGGGCTGAGCGGGGTCCCCGCAGTGCCCAGAGCACCAACTCTCTCCCCAGGACAGAAAGGGCACTGCAGCCAAGGCCTGCTTGTACCATCCCTGTGCAGGGTTCCTCGTGGCCGCCCTTGGGCCATGGCAGGGCCGTGCCTGGGCTCATGGGGGCAGCTGCCACAGGCCCAGCAGAGAGCAGCACTATGCCATTCCACCCCCTGCCCAGCTCCCAGGGCTGTTGTCCCCCGTCCCTGCCCAGTCAAACAAAAGGCACAAGTGGTTCTTTGTGCTGTGGCCAAGAGCTGGGTCAGGCAGGACCCATAATCCTCATCAAGGAAAATTAAGCCATGCATTGATTTTTCACCAGGATAGCATGAGGCCGGCTGTGAAAGCCTTGCATAACCCACTTACAGGCTGCAGAGCCTGCTGCCCGCACAGCCCAAGGCCAGCTGATGGCACAGCGAGGCAGAAGCACTGACAGGAGGGATGCAGCTACCACGGCTCCAAGCTGCCAGCAGTTCTCTGGGCACAGTTTAGCTATCAGAGCCACACTCTCCCCTTGACCCTTCCCAGGCCCTTAGAAGGAAGAAGTGTCTGGCTACAGAGCACAGCCATGGTTCAGTCAATTGCCAGGAGCAGAGCACACAGTCACCTTAGGCCAGCTGGGAGCACATGGCAGCTTCCCTTCAGCCCATGGCCTTCACTGCCTCACTCCAGGGGCAGGAATGCTGGCAAAAAGCCTCCTGAGCTCAAGGCTGGCAGCAAGAAGGGACCCCCACCACCACATCCTCAGTCCTCTCCCCCAGGCCCTGCTCTGTGCACAAAGGTTTCACATTTTTGCTCACTTTCCTGCCCCAGAAAGAGCAGGAAAAAAACCTGCTTAGAGAAGCACAAGACACACAGGTAGCACGTCCTATGAAGGTTCCTGGGGACTGAGGCTGATCCTTGACCCCACAGCCACAAGGCCTGAGGAACTGCAGAGCAGGGCAAAGCGAGACCTGTCCCAAACAGGCAAGTGTGCCCAGTGCTCCTCGGGGCTCTGCAGAGGGAGCACCACTCCCTCCCTCCAGGGAGGCCTTTTACACCCATCAAGCTGCAAATCCTCAGCAATTAGAAGGCAGCCAGAGCTGGCACCAAACTGAGACACAGCATCGTGTTTTGCAGCCAGAGGGTCAGGAGCCCAGAGGGAAGAGACCAAAGTCCAGAGGTGGAAAAAAGAGAGAGGAATCATTTTTATTTGTGAAGTGTTAACAGATGGAACAGTTCGATGCTACCCAGCAGTAAAGGTGTTAGACTCCCCTGAGCACTCATCTGCTCGTAAGCCCCCATGTCACACACACACTGCGATGGCTCAAGCACAAGCACACACTGTTAAAACTCAAACCACCCCCAGCCCCAGCTCACCCTGCCCCATCCCCACGGCAGAGACATGAACCACCCATGGAATAAGTTACAGCAATCATTTATCCAGTGTCCAGCTCTAACTGCTCCTGGTTGCCTGTTTCAGAGGAACCAAGAACAGCTCAGGAGGGGCTAACTGGGAATCTGCCTGGCCAGGAACATGCCCTTTGCCAGGGAAAGGTGCAGCCCTGCTCCAGGTGATGCACTGGGAAAAACACAGAACTCCCCTCCTGAATCCTCTGGTCAGATTGTGTCACCTCCTGACAGCCACCAAAGCAGCTCCTCCCTCACCCCCACAGGCAGGTGGGACACAGGTGGCTCCCACCCCCCCACTCTGTACCAACACAAAGAAACCCAGGACAGAGACAGCCAGGGACCTAGACTATGGGGAACAGGGGATTTACATTTACAGGTAGAAAAACCCTCCCATGGCTCTTTAAAAAAAAGAAGTGTATTTTAGATTCTACAACTTAAGTTTCTTTAGAAAGTGAAGTAACTGAATCTCAAGGACGCACTAGAATATTCCATGGTGCTATTTTACCAAAAAAATAGAAGAAATCAAAATTGTCCAGACGAGTTCTTCATCTACACGTCACCTGGCAGGAGAGAAAGAAAAGCCAGTTAGATAATCCAGTTGCACCAGTAGGGCTGCACTGTGCTAGAGGGAGCTGGTGGAGCCCACGCTGGGCCAGAAGAGCCTCTGGCTCCACAGATGCTTCAGCTTCTCCCAGAGACCCTCTGCAGACACAGACACTGCAGCTCTCGCCCCAGGTGTGGCTCTGCCCTCAGGCCTGACACTCACCTGGCCCCACTCCTAGTTTGCGTTTCTCTGGCGGACATTCTTGTCCTTGTGGTTTGTGGCATTGCTCTTCCTGGGAAGAAAGGATGGACATGAGGAAAGGGAGAGCAGGAAGCCCCCCTCCCCGGCCCACTCATGTAATTCAGGTCCAAACAGATGGTGCAGCTCAGCAGGAGATCAGTTCCCAGAGCAGTGTCAGACACCAGTGCCACCCCAGGTACGTGTGGTTTACACACAGGGACATTTAGTGAGCCATGGGGAGACATATTCCCACCCAGCACGCTGAGTGTTGCCCCACACCAGCCAGTTTTTATCTTCAGAGCAGATTCCCTGGCTGGATGAGATCTGTCAGCACAAATCTGGCTAAATAGGAAGAGGAAAGGTACTCACAGTGGTGCAGAGCCTCCATCATCATCTTCACATTCGGGACAGCGGGGAAAGAAAGAACAAACAGCGTCAGGGAAGAGCATGTACAGTGACCTCTGCCTCCTCTTAAAGCACTGGGGACTATGTTCCAGGCAGCATTCCCACCACCACTTAAAAATGGGAGAGAGCCACAGCTCCTCTGGTGAGATGGCAGCACTGCCCCGACCCATCTGCACCCGCCCCCACAGCTCCATGACTTGGGATGGCTCCCAAATCTGAGCACACTCACAGCAGGTAAAGGGGAAACCAAACAGGATGTTTCAGGAATAGGGGCTTTAAGCAGCGGCAGGAAGCCCTTTTCCCTTCCCACATGTTGTGACATCAAAACAAACACTGCACACCACGTTCTGGCTACACTGAGCAGCACAGCTAAGGAAACACCTCTGCCAACACGTGCCAAGCCCTGAGGCCTTTCACCAGCTCCCTGCAATCTGCCACCTCCCAACAGGAGGCTCCCAGACATCTCCTTCTGCTCCCCCCATTGCCTCTTCTACAGCCCTGGCTCCCCTCAAGTGACCCCAAGCCCCACACTCCAGGCACTGGGACTGCCCTGGGCACCAGGATCTGCTCACAGCTGGTGAGAGGACAGAGGCAGACACGTGGCTGGAACTACCTTCTACTTACCATGTGAGGTGGCACCCAGCAGCAGAGAAGGGAAGAGTGGACAGGTAACACCAGCAAGAATATCACACCAAACACAGGCTGGACTGTCCCCATCCCAACCCAGGTGACAGGAGCGTTCAGTTCTCAGCCAGTACTGGGAGGAACTGGGTCAGACAGGCCTCACTGTCACCTCCTCTAAGGAGGGGCAAAGCTACAGGGACTTTTGGGGAGAGAGAACCACTTGGAAGATGCAGCTAGAACTTCCTTAAGAGGACACCTGCCTTCCACCAGCCAGGGGTGTCAGAGGGCAAAACATCTGCTTGTAAAACTGCCTTGAGTGGAATTCCAAGCCCTGCAGTCAGAAGA